TACAGTGGGGTTATAGGTTTTGAAGTATGATTTTCTTCTATCATATCAAGGGTACGTGTTATCAACATGACATACTACGGATGCAATTAATGAAGATCACTTAGCTGAGGTAGTGTTTGTCAGTTTTCTCCTCTGTAAAGTCATCCTCCCCCTCCATTTTATGTTGCAGTCCTTGGAAGGAAGTCCCAGTGTGTAGCCCACATTTAAGGAGTGGGGAGTTCAGCTCCACTCCCTTGAGATGGAGTGTTTATATAAATTATTTGTAATCTTCTGTACAAATTTGCCTTCCCACGTTTATTCAATATTTATATTAGTATGATATTATTTAATCATTGAATATTTATATCAGTGTGATATTATCTATATCAGTATTCAATATTTATCTCTATCCATATTCTATATATTTATTTTATACTTTGGATTATTATCTGATACTACATCATTTATTTTGTTGCTCAGATTGTTCCAGCTTTGGCCTTGGGGACTCTTTCAGTTGGCTCCTATGTGGATTTGACATACTCCCATCAGTATGTTTTTTGAGCACTTGCTTACTTTCTGGCACTGTAACATGCGTCAGGCTAATCTAGTGTTTCTTTTCTTTGAAGAGCACTGTTAGAAGCCAAGATCTGAGTACCGTGTGCACACTTGGGGTATTGTTGCTTTAGGCTTACTTTCTGAAGGGAACAGAACTATCATGATATTTCCCCCCAATACAGTGCCACACAGATCATTCTAACCGCCCCATCCCCCCACTTACCAAAAAGCTTGCTTTCCAGCATTGGCTCCCAACATAAATTATCTATATGCTTATTTATTCTGTCCCAGTGTACTTGGATAGCAGCTTCAGAATTGTTAACTCATACTCTCATGTAATGCCACACACCTTGATCTTTGTGTTCCTTTTCTCTTACTGTCTGTCAGTGATCATTCTTCTTACCCCCACAAAAGGAAGATTGTGGTACAACCCAAAGTAAACTCTGATCAGCAAGAGAGTAAGGATCTCCATTAGTGAACTCAAGACAAGGATAGCCACTTGGCTTCTTTGGAAACCATTATCAAGTCTCATCTGCGATGGCTCAGAGCATGAGTTTATCCTAATTTTGTTGTCTACTTGGTTCTGGGTCCAGAAATTATGTATGCCCCTGTATATGATAGTACATGTATGAAGGCATTCGGTTGAGAGAGGCCTCATGTAAGGATAGGAAATAAAGTCAAATCTTCCCTGAAGGCTGCTGTAAAGTTCTATGGCCTTTAAAGGGGAAAGTGGCAGACTTATACTGGAAAACATAAAAACTGTAAAATAAATAAATATTTTAAATATTTTAAAACAATCTCAAGTGTGAAAAAGAAACTTCTGATGAAGGGCAGGTTACTTTTCAAAACATGAAAATCAATCAAAATTAACCTTTAAAACAGGAAATTTAGACTTTCATCTGGGATTTACCTAGCAATTTGTTCTCATCTGGATGCAAATATAACATTCAGGTGACTTGTGAAAAAATTTTTTAGTAAGTTTCAAACAGATTTTAATAGTTGATTCAAAAGAAAATTATAGAAGTATCATTGGAACTGACAGTATCCTAGGTGTTTGGAGAAGAGAGTTTATATTCTGCTCATACCACTCAAAAGCAGGTGAAAATCCCCTACGCATTCATGATTCAAGAGACGTACAATGGCAGTATGGCCAACTGTGCCAACATATGGTTCCTAATTGCAAGCCTGGTTTGCTCTACTAACCCAACAATTACAAAATTACAAATGAATTAAATTTTCTATCAGAAAAAAGATATGTATGTGTGTGCACTGCTCTGGTCATTGGCACTAGCCCGGACCCTTTCCAGAGCAGAGATAAAGGCTAGAACTGTAGATGAATAATGAAGATAATGGCAGTTAATTTCTTATGCAGCTATGAATTTAACACTAAGGTTTTAATTCTTCACTCACTCAGTCTCCCCATTTGTCACCTAGAGAATTACTTACTTTTTGCTTTGTTTATTTTTGTTTTGAGGAGAAAAAGTAGATTATTCTTCAGTGGTTTGAGTCAAAAGCAGAATTTTTATGGCGTGTCAAGGAACTGGATGTGTGGCTTGAGAGAGAAAAGGAAAAGCAGATGCATGTCTGTAGCCACAGAGATGAATTTGAGATAGAAACCCTCATTCCCGTTGGTGTAACAGTCAGCCCTTATATCTTTCACAACATTGAAATTGTTCAAAATTAAGCCCTTCAGCATAAAATCTCAAAAAAGAAGAAACACCAGACACTCAGTTCCTCCCTAGGTTTGCCTCTTGTTTGAGGAAGGTAGTGGACAAGAGTGGAAGTGAAGTAAATCAGGATTTTACATTTTTACTCTGGCTTAGCTTCAAAATCACTCTGTCCTATATTTCTCTCTGCCCATTGTACTTTGGTCCATATGGGCAGGGTAAAGTAGGGTCAGGAACCATGCATGGAAGAAACAGTCACTGCAGGATTTGCATTTCTATCTGAAACTAGAATAAACATTGCTAGAGGGAAAAACGGAATTTATCCTTCTTGTTTGGAAGCAGCTCATAAGGATTTAGGTATTTGTATAAATGGATTGTCTTTTCTCATTCAGTTTAAGATTTCTTTAATTCTGGTATGCCAAGTGATTTTTGATTCAGATGTAGACATTTTTATATTATGCTATGGGACTCAAAATCTTATTGAATACTTTTTTTTTTTTTTTTAACTCGCTTTGTCTACCACATCTCCAGCATTGGAAGGAGGGGGTACTGCCGGGTTACTGCCAGGTAGAGGTAAAAATCCAGGTTCTCCAGTCACCCTCTTTTGATACCTTGTGGTGGAAATGGGGGCAGGGGATGCTCCTCATTCCTCTTGGGGATGGTGGTATTTCTAGATCCCTGCATAGTCTGAACTGATACCACAGTGGATAGGAGTGGTCTTATTCCCACTGGATATTGGTTTGATACCACCCCAATATTTATGGAGATGGAGGAGGAGAGACACCTCATTACTGCTGCATGGGGTGGAAGGCCAGGCTCCCATGTGCTCTCTGCTGACACTGTAGAGGATCATTCATTACCAGATGGTAGGCATGAAGGTCCCAACTCCCTACTTGGTCTTTCATGACATCTCTGACAGGGGAGTTGGTTACAGCTTCATGAGGGTAGACTTCCAGTCTCCCCACTCATCCTTTCCTGGCATTCACGGTGATCATTTCTTTTGTGGTGTTTGGCTGGAATAGAGCAGTTATTGACTAAAGGGTTTCCTTCTTCCTAGGCTGTCCCTTTCTTGCTGTTTTGGCTGGAGAGCAGCTTTTGTGGTGGCTTTTTTGGTCTATGCCTCATAGTGTCTCCAGGTTGCTGACTCCTTTCAGCTACAAGTCTGGTGTAAGTGAGGCAAAAAGAAAACCCGGGATCTCACCTTCATGTTGTTTCTTGGGTCCTGAAGTCTCAGGGTGGTCTATTTTCTTTTCACTTTGCAGAGTCTTCTTCTGCTTTGTTTATATATAACATCTGGGGTTTTTAAGTTCTATTTAAGAGGAGGAATAGGAAAATGTAAGTCTGACTCCATTTTTCTGCAAGCAAAAGTCCTTACCATTCAATTCTGCCTTTGTTTTGTTTTTTTTTTTTCCAGCATTTTCTTATGGAAGTTTTCAAGATGAAAGAATTATATAGTTAATCATCACGTATCTTGCTTCTCCCCAAATTCAACACTTAATGTTTTGCTGTATTTTTTTAGTATGGTTTTTATTTACTTTATTGTATTTATCCATCTGCCCTTTCCATCCGTCTGTCCATTAATTGTTTTTGATGGACATCAGTACACTTTACCCCTAAGCACATCAGCATGCATATCATTAATTGGAGTTCACTATATATTGTTTTTTAAAGGTGAATTTTATATAAAGTAAAATGCATGATATCAAAAATATCATTTGATGAGTTTTGTATGATCTATCCCTTACTGGGATAATTTCAGTCACCCCACAAAGTTCCCTTGAAGCCCCTTCTCAATTAACTCTAACTTCCATCACATTTCAAGAACTACTGTTCTGATTTTCTTTCTTTTTTCTTTGTTATTATCATAAATTCATTTTGACTCCTTTAGAACTTCATATAAGTAGAACCACATGGTATATATTTGTATTTTGTTGTTCTTGGCTTTTTTTTCAACACAGTGTTTTTGAGAGGCATTCATGTTGTCTGTATCGGGGTCGTTATCGTTATTATTGCTGAGTTATTTTGTTACATGAACAATACCACAGTTTATCCATTCTGGGCTGCTTCCAGTTTTTTGCCATTACCATTTAACAGTAGCAATAACATAAGTCATCGTTGTCTACCTTCTGTTTTGAACATAGTGCAAGGCAGCTTAAGGTTTGGGGCCTTTCTCTGATTAATAAGATGTTTAAGGCCCTAAAGATATGTTCTATCATATACAATACCCACATTTTCCATGCATTTCTTATTTTTAGTGAAAGTTATCGGTTTATTGGAAGCTGAAATTTTCTTTTAGAAGCAAAAGATGGTTTTAGCATTGTAAAAGTTAGAATTAGCTTCTTGGCACGAAATTTAATTTTGCGAAGGAGAAACCATGGTTTTAACTACACTGTAACTGTAATATTCATTACTGAGAATGCCACACTAGCCTCTGGAGGAACATCCTATTTCAGGAATACGTAGAATGCTCTAGTCCTTCACAAAATAGTGTCGTAGTTGCTGCAATGGATTCAGCTGGGTTTCACAGACCCCTGTTTGTCTGGCCTTACCTATTATGTAAGTCTCTTGCTTCTTTTCTGTTTTCCCAAAATGATTATCTAAGGGGACTGTAATTTCTGATTGATTGATTTACTGATTAATATTAGGGGAGTTCTACCAGCTGGGAAGTGGGACAAAATAAACTTTACGTGAGATTCCAATTAAAGTGGTCATGCTTGCTATTAAAGTGCAGGAGGAAATATGACGTTGTTTCAGACTTTCTATTACAGCTCTTCTCTGACTTTATTTTTCTTTATACAGTTGATGGACTGGACAAAGCTTCTCTAGCAAATTCAGATGGCCCAACAGCAGGCTCACAAACACCTCCCTTCAAGAGAAAGGGGAAACTCTCCACCATCGGTAAAATCTTTAAACCTTGGAAATGGAGGAAAAAGAAGACCAGTGACAAATTTAGAGAAACCTCAGCAGGTATGAGTATCATAACTTTACTAGAAGATAAATCGTTACATTTTTTATAAGATAAAAATTGTGTCTTGTAGGGCTTTTTTTCCCCAGAAAAAAAAGGCCATATTTGAAATGAAATTAGACTTAACTTAGAGTCCTGATTTGCCTGCTTTCCCACTCATTGACTTTCTAATATACCCTTGTTTTTAAAAATATACTTCATACAGAAAACTAGTATGGAGGGAGGGGAAGTGAAAGAAGGTGTAATAGAAAATTAGAAGGGGAAATGTTATTTATCAACATTGTAGCTGAAATAGCCATTCACATACACACACACACACACACACACACTCACACATACTATTATCTATCTACTTAGTTCCAGTAACACAATCCTATTTGTTAATTAAGAAAAATTTTTGAATGTCTTTTTTTAATGTGTTTGTTTTATGGGAAAAATAAATGTAAATGGCTGTTTGAAAGAAAAGTGTTTCTGTATTTTATTGTTAAATTTAAAATTTCCATCATACCTTTAAGACAAATAAATGGTTTCTGTCCTAAGGGAGTCAGAACACTATTGGTGTGTAAATTTTTTTATTATTTTGTGGATTTGTTAAGCTTTAAGAATTACATTATTTCGTACCTTTCATGTGGACTCATGGAAAAAATTTGCTTTTTATCTCAGGCCAGAACTAAGCCCAAGTTAAACGAGTATTACCTTTAAGGTAGAAAAGCATTTATCTCTTGATATAAGTTCAACATTCTTTATGCTTATATTGTCTAATACAATCGCTTTATCAGAATTCCTCATTGCGCCAAGGTTAATATTGTCGGTGTATGTAGAGGGTCACAGAGCATATTTTACTGGTCTGTGCTAACATAGGAGTTGGCCTTTAGTTCTAGAGCTGTGAAATAAAATAGAAAATACCTCAAATAGCACATAGGTATGGAATAGGGACACCAAAGCTTCCTAACGAAATTGCCTGTGATGCATTTGCTGCTGTATAACTTCTTTGAGCATGTAATATTTAATAAAGAAATAATGATACCATATCTGGGATTTGTTTCAAAATCCTGGAGGTGGGGTGAGTATAGATGAAAGAAGATTGGCCATAAGTTGGTGATTGCTTAAGCTTCGTCATGGGTACTGGGGGGTTATTATTCTCTCCTCTCTGTGTGGACGTATTGGAAAATTTCTGTAATAAAAGATAGGGAAAATAAAAGAGACCTGGCTTAGGGGGAAATAAAAATAGATTGGTTATCACATTTTCTATACTTTCTAATTGGTTTCTTGGATTAGAAGGCAATGGCAAGTGAACAGAGTGCTGTGCTGAGTGAGTAAGGACATCTGGGTTCTGGTAGTGTCTTTGCCATCGAGGTACCCCGTGACCTTGAGCAAGTCAGATCAGAGTCAAATGAAATTATTCTAAGGTGCTTTCATTTCCAGATTCTGTTGTCAGTCCTTAACTCCTAATCCCTGGCTGGACATCTTATTCTCCCATATTCTTCAGTTGTGAATGGAACCACAACTGGTCTTCTTACTGTCCTCCTCTCACATTTCCCTGAGTGTTGAGAGAATCTGGCCCTTTGGGTTACCATGGCTACCCAGGATGGGAGTAGGGCTCCAGACAGTACCAATAAGAAGATACTGAGAAGAGAGGATGGAAGTCTCCTCTTTTGTTTAGCTTGCCCTTTACTTGAATCTTGGATGCTAACAACTCTCTCCCTAATGAAGAAAAGATAACCACAAAGAAATTCTCCTTCACTTTTCTTTGTCATCTCTTTTTAATTATTTTGACAGTAGGGAGGCTGTAGCCCTGAATATTTTAGAAAAGTCATTTTAAACAGCCTTAAGTGTTATTTTATGTTAGCCCGTATTTGTTGAGGAAAGCCTAGCCATCTTTCTATTCTGTTTTCTTTTCAGAGTCACACAGGATTTTATATAAGGTTGGCTCCAAAGAGTTATTTGTGGGTTCTGTAGCCCTAGTTCCTAAAGACTACCAAACTACATTAATAACCTGAAAAGTTATTAGATGTCTGTTTTCTTTGCATCCAAATTATGACATCACAGAATAAAGACAAGCCAAGTAGACACGTTAACAATTCTTTGTGAATTTATCTGCTGCATTTGTGTCATTTCTTTCTAAACCCATATTAATGTCGTACTTGAATTTCGTAAGATGTTATCAAGTGTCCCATTATAAAATATTTTGTTGTTACTTTATGTATATGCTTATTTTAAGGCTTAAATTTCTGCTGAGTTTTATGAAGTATATCAGTGAAGCCTGAAATAAAGGGAGGCACAAAGCATATAACAAATGTTTTATTTACATTGAGGAAAGCTGTCATGTCTAGAGGAAAACTGATACATTTGGAAATAACCAAGAGAAAGGTGTTCTTTTTTTTTTTTAAAGATTTTATTTATTTATTTGACAGAGAGAGAGATCACAAGTAGGTAGAGAGGCAGGCCGAGAGAGAGGGGGAAGCAGGATTCCCGCTAAACAGAGAGCCCCATGTGGAGCTCGATCCCAGGACCCTGAGATCATGACCTAAGCCGAAGGCAGAGGCTTAACCCCCTGAGCCACCCTGGTGCCCCGAGAAAGGTCTTCTTTAATAAATTGCCTCAAACAGCGAACTCAGGTTGTTTGGATATGACCAAGGTCATGTGCTGTCTGGCACACTATAAAGCCCACCTTAGGCACGTCCCACAGTGTGTTGAGATCTGAAAGAAGGTGCATTTCTTCCAAGGCAAGTCCGTCTTGTTTTTCTTTCTTCTAAATTCCTGGTGTTATAGCCACATGGCTATGAATCTTCCTGCACTCCGCCACATAGTGATTAATACTGCTTTTCCTAGTCTGGGTTTCTGTTGAGGAAATTTTTTTTCTTTTGATTGTTAACAGAGAGGATGCAGCCCTGATTGATGATGCCATTGTAGTCATATGTTTCCCATGGCGGAGGCAGTTTAGAAGGGTCATGGTCAGTGGAGCACGTGACTCTTGATCTCTGGGTGTGAATTTGAGCTCCACATTCAGTATAGAGGTTACTTAAAGATAAAAATCTTAAAAAAAAAAAAAAGAGAGAGAGAGAGAGAAGTGTCCTGTCCTTGAGCCAACTATATATTTTTTGGAAGTCCATCTTGTTCTATAAGAGAGACAGGGCCTGGGCCCCAACTTCAGTTTCTCTGGCCTTGTTTTAAAGCAAAAAGTTGCCTGTCTCTTCAACTCTGTGCAGGCTGGTCCACAGGCTGTTGGGTTCTAGGGCTGGAGAGCAGTCTTCTTCCCATTTACTTTCCCCCAGGGCATCTTTTCTTAACTCTTCATCTCCTGAGCCAGAGGGCCCTTCTCTGGTCCCATCTTTACTCTCAGTTACATCCCTTATGTGCATTTAGAACTCAAAATGTCACTTACACTTCTTTTCCTACATAATTATTCCTCCTATTTTTTTTTTCTTTCTTTTTTTGTGGGGAGGGGTGCTGTGTGTGTTGTGGCTGAAGTTCCTCCCTCTGGGTCTTTAAATTTGCTTCCATCTCCCAAAAGCTAAGAATACAGTCAAATCCCCTGTCTGAACACAGTGGTTCTTCCAACTTCTGCAGAGTCTCTTGCCATCAAGACCAAACATCTTGAAAATCCAGCCTGTGTCACTTTGTCCACATCCTCTTCACATGGTCATTCCTTTCCCTCTGCCATCTGCGCCTGTGTCCAGCACTCCACTGACGACACTCCAAGCCTCCCAATCAGGAAATTCAGTGTCACTTCTCTCATTTTCAGCCACCCCAACCTCTGCAGCATTTGCCATCACTGGTTAGTCTTTCCTTGATTGACAAAAGATGTCATTATCGGGGCGCCTGGGTGGCTCAGTCAGTTAAGCGGCTACCTTTGGCTCAAATCATGATCCCAGGGTCTTGGGATCGAGTTCCACATCGGGCTCCCTGCTTAGCAGAGAGCCTGCTTCTCCCTCTCCCTCTGCCTGCCGCTCTGCCTACTTGTGCTCTCTATCTCTCTGTCAAGTAAATAAATAAATAAATCTTTAAAAGATGTCATTATCTTGGTTGTCTTTGACTTTTCTTTCTGCTTTTTGCTTCTACTCGCCCCCTTCTCCTCTTCCCTAAACCTTCAAGGGAGTTTGCTATGTGTCTTAGCCCTTCCCTTTTTTTTACTGTGCTCTTCCTCATCATCCATCTCTTCTTAGTACCCACATTTCTCAGGCCAAGTCTCCCCCTAAGACCTAGGCCCATCCAGCAGAGCATTGATGGGTAGCAATGCCTAAGGAGTGCATGTTAACTCAAAAATCCATTCCTAAGGTCTATCTATATCTGCACTGAAAACCATTGATTTATTAGCTCTTGTTCTGTTGCTACATGATTCACTTGTATTTTTACAAAGAAATAAGACCGATCAATAATTGGGAATTTTGAACCTCGTTTCTTCCCCTGTAGAAGCAAATAACTCATTGAGATTACTATATACCCAAATATATGTCATGAATCAGTAACAGACCACAGCACTCCATTCATATTAGTTTTTTCCAATTTCTGTTTTTCCATTTGTTCAATTCTGAGCTCGGTAGAAAATGGAATCAGAGACTTCCGTAAGTGAATATAAGTATTCCTGGAAGTGTTCTTCTGGGGTATTCTGGAGTATTCTGGAGGGAGTGAGTGAGCAAGGTTCCTGCGCTCCTGGAGCTTTCATTCTAGAGAGGCAGATGTGATGAATGAGCACAGAGTGAGGGAAGGGGGAGTGGAAAAGTACTAGGTACAAAATCCATTCCAAAGCAAAACAGATCCCTTGCCAATCCCAGGTACCCATGCTATTGCAGACATGGCTTTCTTTGGCATCTAGACTTTGAACCATGGAGTTGACTCTTCTTTGCCTCTTACTGTCTTCTATATTCCATTAGTTACCAAAACCTTTCATGTGTTTTCTCCCGGTGCAGGGCCTCCAACATTAGCTGTTCCTCTCAGTCCCTATTATCTGGTTCTTACCAGTCTATTATTGCAGGTAGCCTCTTGGTTATATTTAGGTATG